TGAACCAAAGATGACTTATGGGCAAGGAGCAAACATCTCATGGATCATATCAGGAAGTGGGTAGATGACAGAGCATCCTTCAGCGTTGTTTGAATGGTCATAGCATAAGAACTGGAAGAAACGTTGTTGTCCAATTTTGTTCACTGATGTGGTCATTCGTCTGAACACAGCACGACATTTGTCATTAATCGTCTACAGTATGACTCAAATATGCGGTGTCAGCATCGATTGGAAAAACAGTATACTTCACTGTTCGAGCCGTTGAAATGCCAATATCGCAAATCATACTCACTTCTCCCTTCTAGTTCCATTTGCCTAACCTTCAGTTCAATGGAGGATGTTGCTGATTTCTGTTCAGATGAAAATTTGAACGTTCTTCATGTTCGCTTACGAATTCTGACCAATAACCTGCGCCATTCCAGATATAGGTTCACATTAAAAGCTGATGGTCAGATATTGATTCTCGATTGACCATCGTCTAGTGTGCCGAAGTATTTTTGTGCTGACACCGAGAACACACGCGTTCGTTCATCGTTCGTACCCGACGACCGTTTGTAATAGTGGAATCGCAAATACTGATCTGCACCTAATAACGTGTTAGAGGTGGATCTATAGAGAAAAAGGCAATCAAGGCATTTGGTTTGCTGAATGCAACGAAAGCACTTGCATGCGAAACCTGGTACGAAAACAAAATATGATGAGCCAAGACTCTTCTTCCAGCAAAAATAATGAAAAATCTACCATGGTGCTCAGCAAAGCTTTGCCTTGTTCCATAGGTTCCACAAATAACATTTCTTACAGTAACGTTTCAGTCTTCTTCGTGAAGCTGTGGCGAAATCTACATTACTAATAATCGAATATGACGGGAAACTTTCGAAACTCTACAACGAATGTCAGAAGGCACACAGCAGCAAATCTCGGCGTTTGTGACAAATGAGCAATGGAGATAATTCTACCGACGACAATCACCGATGGATAGGTTGCGAATTGCCACTTGGTCAGGAACGCTGGAATAATTACTGAAAATGGTACGCGACTATCAGAGGCCCTCTAGAGAAGGAACGGTGAGAGCGCTAATTCGCGGGAGACGAAATACATGGGTTAAAAGTCGAACCAGATTACACTTTGATACAAACTCATTTACTGAGGAACACCAAGCACAAGAAATAGACCTACGGCTGCAGTGAGTGAATAAGTGAAACAAAAGGTATTAGAAATCAATCAACTGATAACAGCGTCATGAGCGTTCAGGTGACACTTGTGCGCAGTACCCTAACATATTTCGCATATGCGCACTTCAGACATGCAAATATGATCCTGAAACGTCCGTCTCTTACTGCAACACATACCGCGAAACTAAAAGTACCCAGGGGCATATTGAAAAATATCGAATGAGTTTCGGCAAGTTACATGAAGGAGGCGGACGCGGATGTGGTACGTTAAATAAAAAGATAGATTGCATATTTCAAACAGTTGTGTGTGATATGGTTTTGAAAAATACGACAGAAAGCCACGTGCTTAGCCACAGGAGAGGGCAGGTGAAAGGTCAGATCGAATGCTTGTTGACAGGAGCGAATGAACTGAGGAACGTCAGAGAACATTTCACGTTGTCTCGTGAAATCAGAAATCAACATCAGCTTCTTGTCTTGGACCTCAATCTGAAGCGGTCGATCAACAGTGAGATCGAAGACAATTCTAATGATAAAGGAGTGGAGGCTGAAAGATGCGCTCCACGGGAAGTTATAAAAGAAAAATCGGATGGCCACTGGAACTTCAGAGTGGATACAGTATGCGAGCAGATGGCCAACTTAATCATCGAGAATGCCAGAGGTGCAATCGAATAAACGAAAGAGATAACATCTATCTCGAAAGAATCACGAAATGAAAGGTATTTTGAAAAATGATAACTGTCAAACAGCGTGGTAGACAAATCCGAATATTCCATTCTAAAGAAGGAGGCAAACTTCAACGAGCAAAATAGTTTACGCGAAAATTTGGCAACGAAACAACGGAAGAAACGTATCTCTCGCATGGCAAAAACCAGAGAAAAGAACAAGAGAAGTCGGTGCAAGACGAAAATATATATAGCGAGTCGAAACAGTTTTTCCTATTGAAATTAATGTAATTTCAATTAATCCGTTCGCGCGCCCCACAAATATCGTTTGTTGACTTTTCTTATGGATTTATGTGTGGCAAAAATATATCATATAAAACATACAGCACTATAACT